GGTTGGTGGGGTGGACCCACCCACAAAAATTGAAACTGTACAAAAAGTAGGGCGAAATGGATGCTGGGAGCCAAGAAACACCCTAGTACCTTCCATAAAGGAGGTGCTAAGTAAACTTTTAGAAAATAAAATTGAATTAGTATTCTCTTTAGTGATCAAAGAATGTGTAAGATTTACTGCTCATCAAATGACAGTTGAAAAGGCGGAGGAAGCTTACATTTGTTGAGCATGTACTGGTACTAGGTACTGAGCTAGGAGATTCCTACAGATTGTCATTTTATTTAATCCAAGAAAAATCTGTGCTACAGTTGTCATTATGCTCATTTTAGAGGTGAGGAAACGAAGGGTAAAGACGTTACATAATCTTGCTGGCTTGTGCAGAGCTGAAATCCCAGCCCCGGTCTGCCTGACCCAGGGCCCAGGGATCTTTCGCAGGAGTTCATGGCCCTGTATTCTGGGCTGCTGTTTATCTCTCTTCAGAGATCACTAGGGCTGGAAATTCTATAATCTTTCCCTCCAGGCTTTTGTTCCCTGTATAAACCTGAGGGAAAAAACTCCTTATTTTCCATTGTTTTAAGTGGATTGCATTTCACCCTCTTCACCTTCTATAGAAAGTGGAAAATCACACAGCACTAGAAGAAAACCTTCATGGATTGGATTGGATGGTAGTAATTGAGTAGCCACTTAATCTTTTCTTCTTCTATGTAAAAAGATTCGATCCCTTTAGCCTTTCCTCGGAGAGCCTATTTTAAGATCCTTTGACATTGGACATATTTTTGCTGAAGCTCTGGACCTTTCTTTTGAGCCAGGACATGACTAGAGGCAACTGTCAGACCCAAAGTTTCCCCGAACTCCAGAAAATAACACTCAGCTGTGCTGACATCTGCGTTTCCCCTGTGGGACCTCTGAGCTGCTGCCAAATCCTCTCTACCAATGTGACATCGCCCCACCCCCCACCACTACAACACACACAAACAACAATATACACATACCCCAACAACACACGAACCACAGTCGACACACCCAAATACATAATAACACACACAAACACACCAACATCCCGAGCCCATGCTGAAGCCAAGCAAGGTTCTGCTTTTCAGTGGCAGCCACTGGAAACACCTTCTCTGAACTCCTGGGATTCCTCCTCCGGTCAACAGCAGTCACATCATTCTAACTTTGAAACCCTGGCTATATAATCACTTTATTTCTTCGCTCCCACGGATCAGACAGGAATGTGATTTGCTGTTTTTGAATTTCAAGAAATGAATTGAAAATGAGATTTGTTTTCTTGACCTTGTCTCTCCATGCTCTGGACCACGAAATGACCCGGTTTCTGGTTTAACTGGCCTGTGACCATTGGTCCTGATGTAGGTCCTTCTGGCTTTCTTTAAATATATCAAAGACAATTTTAAGAGAAGAGGAAGAGAAAAAACTCTGGATACTGGGTAATGGATGATTTTTTATGTGAGCTTTCCTAAAGTTGCCAGAATTTCGACAACAAACACAAATTCACTTGGAAATCAGGAAAAATATCAATAAATGTTAAAACTAATTTGAAATTGTTAAAAAATAAACTGATGGCCAAATCTTTATCAAGCAGATATAAATAAAAAGGTGAATTGCAGTAATAATTAGACAAAAGAGAAATCACCATAAAGCAATCTTTGGGTTAAAGGATTCATTTTGGCATTTTATATTGATAAAAGGTACAATGAAGAATGAAAATATTTCAGTGATAAAAGTCATGTGAATAAAACATAGCATTAAATATGAAAAAAATGGACAGGAAATCAACAGAAAAAAATTGTCATGTGGATATCTAAACACCAGACTTTGGCAATCAAAAAGAAAAAAAAGGTCACCGAAGTCTGAAATATTATAGTTACTAAAGTTGATTTATAGGTAAATATTGAATTTTATTTCTTAACAACAAATAAGTTGTTTTTAAAAGTATTATTTGAAGCCCTAAGCAAAACAGATAATATATAAGGCAACAAAGAAAATTTTTATCTAAAATTCAACAAAACTAGGAGAAAATTGCACAAATTTATGTAAGAACAAAAAAAAGTAAACCCTCCACCACTTAGATTTTTAAAAAATTCTTTATAAGGATTTCATAAAAATTAAGTCAAAACTATAATTACAAGCTATTTAGAAAGTAATGAAAATTATATTATTACATACGTACATTCATAGAATATGATCAGATCAGTACAAGGGAGTCTGTTGAGGGGCTCAAACACTCTCATTATTAAACAACAAATAATGAAAATAAGCTAATCATATAACTTAAAAAAGTTAGAATCAGAAGAATAAAATAAATCAAACAAGCAAAAATATATAAGGAAGGTAAATACAGCAATTTATGAAATAGAAAATAAGGTATAATTGATTAATTTGTGTTTTTATTTTTTACTTTTCCTTTATTTTTTGGTTTAAATACTTCATTGTTTATGCTATTACAGTTGTCCCAATTTTTTCCCTTTCTTCCCCTCCACCCAGCTCGCCCTCCATTCCCGCTGTCAACCCCCACACTGTTGTCCATGTCCATGCGCCCATCATATATGTTCTTGGACAAATCCCTTCACGCTCTTTCAACCAGTTCCCATCTCTTCCCTCCCCTCTTACAGCTGTCAGTCTGTCAGTCTGTTCCATGTTTCTATGCCTCTTGTTTTATTTTGCTCATTAGTTCATTTTGTTCACTTCATTCTACTTATACGTGAGATCACATGGTATTTGTCTTTCACTGACTGGCTTATTTCCCTCAGAATAATGTTCTCCAGTTCCCTCCATGCTGTTGCAAAGGGTAACGATTTCTTTCTTTCTTTTTTTACTACTGCATAGTATTCCCTTGTGTAAATGTATCACATTTTTATTTTTTAATCCACTCATCTACTGATGGGCACTTAGGCTGTTTCCAAATCTTGACTATTGTAAATAATGCTGCTATGAATATAAGGGTGCATATATTGAATTGGTGTTTTGGGTTCTTGGGATATATTCTCATCAGTGGAATTGCTGGATCAAAATGTATTTCCATTTTTAATTTTTGGAGGAAATTCCATACTGTTTTTCACAGTGGCTGCACCAGTCTGCATCCTACCAAGAGTGCACTAAGGTTCCCTTTTCTCCACATCCTCGCTACCATTTGTTGTATGTTGATTTATTAATGATGACCATTTTGGCAGGTGTGAAGTGATATCTCATTGTGGCTTTAATTTACATCTCTCTGACGGCTAGTGATGTTGAGCATTTTTTCATGTCTATGGGCCATCTGTGTGTCCTCTTGGAAAAGTGTCTATTCAGGTCCGTTGCCCATTTTTTGATTGGATTGTTTATCTTCCTTGTGTTGAGTTGTATAAGCTCTTTATATATGTTGGAAAAATTTAAGTGTTTTTAATATTTTAAAGGCTAACAAAATGGAAGTACTTTTCACTGCTAAAATCCAGGAAAAGAGAAAATACAAACAAATAATGTTAGAAATGGATATGAACATATTGTGGAAGAAAATGTTGTTGATCATGTAAAAATACTGATAAATGAATGATTTTCCGGAAATTTCTAAAATTGATTAAATAAATTATACATCTGAAAAAACCAATAAACTTGAGAAGGAATTGACAGTTATTAAACAACTTTCAAAAAACTCTGTAGGTCCAGATGGATTAGCAAAGAATTCTTTTGAAGTTTCAGAAAACATGATGTCTGTTTTGTAAACCATTCAGGAACATAAAGTTTGAAATCTACCAAATTTTGTTTATCCATTCACCTGTTAATGAACATTTAAAAAATTAAAGGAATAACAATTTCACTCTTCTAAACTACAAGAAAAATAGAACATATATCCACACAAGGACTTGTATGCAAATGTTCATAGTAGCATTATTCCTAACATCCCCAAACTGAAAACAATTCAAATGCCCATTAACTGTTGAAGAGATAAACAAAATGCAATACATCTACACCAAAGAATTCATCAATACAAATTAATTTTAAATAAAAATGAAATAAATGTGTGTTATTATAACATGCTAAAACATGGATAAACCTCAAAAACATGCCAAGTGAAAAGAGTCAGACATAAAATATTAAATATAATTACATTCTTGTGAAATGCCTAGAAGATACAAATTTATGGAGACATAAATGGAAGTTTTCTTATCAATGATTGCCTGAGGGTAGGAGTGGGATTGGGGATTGACTACTAATGAGCTCCAGAAAATTTTGAGAGTTTATGGGGACTGTTCAAAAATTGGAATGTCCTCAACTTTTTAAAAAAATTGTGACAGTTACAAAACTCTACAAATTTACTAAAAATCTCTGAATCGTACCTTTATAATGAGATTTTATGGTATGTAAATTGTATCTCAATAAAACTGTTAAAAATAGCTAGTTATCAAAAAATACAAAAAATTCTAATAAGATTCAATTAACAGAGGTGAACATCTATCTAATAAAAAAATTTAGTGTGGTAAAGATTCCATTTAAAGGGTACCATCATGCATAGCAATTGGGATATAAATTGGTACAATGCTTTTAAAAAACAAAAGCAAAAGAGAATTTTTGAAATGTTAATAGATTTGATTCATTAGTTCCATATGAGAAATCTATCTCTCCTAAAATAAAAATGTGTGTTATAAAGGGATGTGCATTACAGAATTCTTTATGATTTAACTACTGATCAGAACAACCTGACTATCCAACATTTGGGAAATGGGTCCACAAATCACAGTACACCAAACAAGGAAATTCACATATAAAAATCTTATCTTCCCAGACTTCTTAAAGAGATAGAAGAATGTTCAAGAAATAATGTCAAATAAAAAAGAAAAGTAGGGTCTAGATTCTATACACACACTAATCCTAAATGGAAAAGGTGTCTATTATTTGGCCTAGGCCAAATAAATGTTAACATTTATTTTCTGGGTGATATAATTATGGGTATTGGAATTTTTTTCCAATGCTTTTTGTTTTATTTAAATTCTTCCCCCCCACCCCCTGTGTGTGGAATGGTTGATCTTGAATCTGCAGGTAGCACGGTGGCCCCAGATTTCTCCATGTTCACATTTCTTTGCCTCCAATTCTTATGTGTCCAAAGACAGGGAACCACCAACATATCTTTGTAGGAGGGTTGTTTTATCTAAATTCTTGACAATGAGCATATACTATTGCTTTATCACCTGTAAATCAGAAATTTTCTTTTGGAAAACTGTAAATATTATAAAAGTAACAAAAAAGAATAAGATGGAAATGAATTGCATCTCTTCCTTTCTGTACCAAAGGCATCTTTCAAATAGGAAGTACAAGTTCTATGTCATAGTCCTGACTAGTCCTGAGCTTCCATTAGGCAATGGTGAACTCTAGCTAACTTTGCCTTCTTCTCATTTCAAGGAGACTTAGGGGCAACTGAGTCAACATGGTGTGTGGGGATTTAGGACCAGAAAGCACTTTCCCACCTTCAGTGAGGGGCCATTCATAACGAGGGGCCTAGCTGCACCACAGTAGCAGTAGTAATTGGCCTCCTGTCTTCCTGTTAAACCATTGTAGGGGTAACATCCTGTTGTAAATAACCAAAGGACCTCTTTCAGAACTTCACAAATGTGGTAGATAAACTCTACCACTCAACAGACATCCATGGTGGCTCTCAGGCCCATGAGTATCCAGAAGCCGTGGGTTCTGGCGCATAAAAATCCTCCTTTTGGATTCTTTTTACTTGGAAAATTCAGTCTTTTGTATAAGTAACTTAAGTGTGTCAGTTGAGTTAGAGAGGCAGATAGGAATCAGAGAGGCAAATAGCACAGCCACAGGGAGGGAAATTAGGAGACAGCAACTAACTGAGAAAAGTCCAAGGTGAGGCAGCCTCGGAGGTAATGAGTGGGACGTGCCAAGCCATCCTCTGAAGTCACGTTATTAGCTGTTCCACAAACATTTTCCAACCTAACTTTTTAAATAATTAAACAAATGAAAAAGAAACCAGATTCTTGTGTAAAAGCTCCTAGGGCTTTGGTCTTTATTACTAATAAACTTACCTCAGCCTCCGCGACGACGGAGTGTGGGAGAAGCCAGCTCAGCTGGTAACGAGATTTTGCCTCCCTGATGAATGTGCTCATTAGGGAAGCCACTCAGTTTGAAGACCCACCCCAGCCAATCTGATTGTGGATTTTATTGAAATAATTTTATAAACAAGTCTTCAGACCAGGTTTAGTCCTGATGAATTCACTGAGCTCATTATCACCCTCAGGAAGAAATTTGAAGAGATAAAAATAAAAGTCTAGAATTAAAACAACACTTTCACCTTAGGCAAAACAGTCTCCCTGTGCTTTTAGATTTCTCCATCTATAAAACAAAGATAATGATATTCCCTTCTCCAGCTCATCAAAAGAGCTAATGTGAAGTTCTGGAGAGCGTTCTTGGCTGTTGGGAGAGAAGGTAACACATAAACCTGATTATTTTTAATAGTACGAAGAATATAACGGTGATAAATAGATGTCTGATCTCTCTAAGACAGGGTAAAAACAATGCAAAGGAAAAGCATACATATGGTGTGTGATAAATCAACCCAATATCTGGAAATTCACCTGGCTTGAATTAGAAAGCTGTTCTCCCTCTATGTTTTCTTAGATATTAGAATTTATCTTAGATTTTAGTCCACTGACATTTCACCATAAAATTGTTAAATTTATTTGTTGCGGCTGCTACTACAGAATCAGAGTGACCTTAGAAAAATGTTTTTGTCAGAAAGCACTCAGGTAGCCATCATGGATTCCCAGTGTGGGAACAACTCCAAAGAAGCTTGGCTCCTCTGCTCCTCACCAGTTGTCTAAGTCAGCAATTTCCAACCAGTGTGCTGCAAGAATTTTTTAAAACACACAATACCTGACTGACTTAGCGGCACTGACCTCTTTTCCTTTAGATTGCCAAATTAAAAAAAAAACAAAAAACAAAAAACAAGACAACAGCCAGTACAATAATAGCTGTCCGGTGTGAATGAATCAAAATTATATGTATTTTTTGGCCAGATTAGCAAAAAAATGTGCCACAGAATTTTAGTCATTAGTTTATATGTGGCATGAGATGAAAAAGATTGAAAATCACTGGTCTAAGTCCCGAGGCAGAAGACACTAAAATTCCTGCTGAGCACGAGCTACACAAGCTCAACAGAGAGGGATGTACCTGGATTTTAACATAATTCCACAGAGCCAAACTCAAGAGTCTATGCAGAAGCCTCACGTTGAAAAAGTGTGAAAGTTTTGGATGGGGCTCAAGAATGATCGGCATATCCTTTTCAGACGTTAAGTGACAGCATCTTCTGCCTCTACCCAGTTCCTAATTTTTGCATCAAACATAAATAGTAAGTGAAGAAATGTAATTCGATACAGAGCTTCACATTCCTGAGATTAGATGAAAGGAATCCTTAGCTCTGAGACACAAAGACTTGGAAAAAAAGGCAAAGACTAAAGGAGCAGTAAAAAGCAAACTTCAGTTGGAAAATCTCATGCATCCGAGTGGCTGGTTTGAGCTTCACAGAGTCGCCCGGAGCACATGTTACCCTGCATTCAGCTACTCCACGTCCTATCAGATATGTCAAATAAATAATTAAAAAGTTTTGGCTGCCAGGGCCAGGTTCAAATGGATTGAAGGGGAGCGTGGATCACCTGTTTTCAGGCTGGGAGATTTAGTGTGGGGAGGCTCCACATACGCATTGAGAGAGAGAGAGAGAGAGAGAGACAGTGCTCTTGGAGGAATTTAAGGACTGGAGGTGTCCAAGGCTCCATCCACCGCACCTTCCTCCAGGCCCACCTTTCTTTTCAGGGTCTGTCATGTGCTTCTTTGAGTCTCCTTTTTCAATTTACCGCCCCCTGCATGCACATATGAAGGGACTCACACTTGCCTTCCAGAAAGTGGAGCGCCTTGCTGGTGGGCCTATGCTGCAGCCGCTCCTTGGACACAAGGAAGCCGGGGGTGTTTACGATAACAGCGTCGCAGAGTGCAAAAGGCCCCCACAGTGGAGCCAGAGGAACCTATGAGATCATTTGGAAAAGCTTGTGAATTCACTGCCATTTGCCTACTTGGCTTTGGATGAAAAGCAAATCTTAAAGCTGCTCAAAATGTGTCTGATTCATCTGTAACTGAGAATGAGACCAATCAGGGATAAGAAGTGAGTAAAATCCTTGTGATCACAGAGCCAAGAGAGCCTATTTTAAAGTACTTAATGCATTTTTTTCTTAAAGATATATACACCAACTGTAATTAAGTTCTCCCTTTCCTTATGATCTTGGCAAGATGTTAAAAAAGAGATAGAGCGAGGGAGCTGACTTGCCAAGTGGATTTTTCTAAGCGTTCTCAGCCCTAATTAAAAGTCCTTTGTGCGAGGCCAACCAGCAATCAGATTCCTAATTAGAGTTGAGTAAACTGCCGTTGTGAACTGTGGATTTCCCTGAACCCAAGAATATGGGGAGAGAGTCTGTCCATCTCAAAGGGGCCATCTTACGAAGGACCCTCCCCCTGCCCTCCCCGCCCCCCATCTCAAAAGTCAGGTACGCGCATGGCCCATGGCATGACTCTGTTCCTGTTGGGTGGAATCTTGTACATTGTGTTGTCACTTCTGTCTTGTGTGTCGGCTATAGTATTACCAGGAATTGTGCCTTTAAAAAAACCTGTCTTTAGGACCTGGGATTATGTGACTTGAGATTTAAGTATATTAAAGGCTAGTTGTTCATGGTTTATGTCCACATGAAGGAGACCGTTCTGCCATTAACTGGATTTGCATAGGAGTCCTGGGAATCAAAATAGCAAATACACGCTCAGTGCTTAACTACATGCCCAACAGCTCTAAGAACTAACCTGGCCCCCATGAGGACTTCATGTGGCAAATTCTATTGTTTTTCCCATTTCATAGGGAGGAAGCTGAGGCACAGAAAAGTTAAATAACTGTCTCAAAGTCCCATGGAGCCAAGATTTGCCTGTAGTCCATCAGGTTCTAGAGCCCGTGCTCGTCCTCACTGTCCTAGAGCCACAGCACTGCCTCGTTGCCGGCCCAAGCAGAGAGGAACTCCAACTGCCTGGCCTCAAGCCATGGGTCAGAACAGCCTCAGAGCAGCCCAACTGGAGCGTGGCTCAGCCTCCTATCCACCCCTCGCTTTACCTCTCTTCCTGATTACTAAATGGGGCTTTCCAAGATCCACATTTCAAATTGAGACCTTCTGAAATGTAGGCCTTGAATAAAGAGATTATACTGGACGTAAAAATAAAGGACGGTACTATTCTTCATTCCCAGGACTATGATGAAAGCAACAATGGCATTCTTGTCTTATCCAGTTAGGGACAAAGCACCCAAAGCCACAGCACCAGAGGGGATGCCACAAAAAGTAACACGCACCCTTGGCTTAGCTCATCTCCTACATAACTCTCCATTTCTTGATTATTTTTTCCCCAGAAATGTATACATCCTGAAACAGGGAGAAAGTTTTCATAATTATATAATTTTCATTTTCTCATGTTTTCATTTGGGTCACATTCATAAGTTATAAGAGATAAAGTCTCCTCCTATTCGGTTTCCTTCAAATTACTGTTGGATAGTCTTAAAAAGAGATACATTTCAATCTATAGATTTTTATTTTTAGTTAAAAGTACAAACTGTAAATATGATAATGTCAAATCTTTTAACCATATAATGTACAGCTGAGTGAACCACATTGCAAAAGAAGTGCTTCCATGTATTCGAGGGAGTTGGCTGTTTGCAAGGTGTCTTTGCGGGGAGGCCCACTCTGATGAGGAGATGACAGCCTGGGAACAAAGGAAGAGGAAGAAAGGCAAAGACACCAGCATAACTGGAAGGGAGACGGGGAGAGAGATGAGACTAGAGTGTGAATCGAGGGAAGAGTGAGAAGCCCAGGGACAGGCTCTTTCCCCAGAGCCACAGGACAATTCTATGGCTTTAACGAGAAAGAAAACAAAAGGGTATGTGGGAGCACGGGCAGATGAGTGTGTCTAGCTGGTGGGTTGTGTTTCCACCCATTGTGGGGAAGGGGCTCTTGTTGGGTGATGCTAAACTGGTGCGGGAGCTCCTGCGTCCAGCTTCTCCGGGAGGTGCTCCGACGTTGCCACTACATCCATTAACATCCTTCGCAA